CTAACTCCTAAAAATGTATTGGAAGAAAAAAGAAGGCAATCTTTAATAGTTTTTCATAATTCACTCCTAAAATATAAAAGACAATCTTATATCAGGAATCATATGCTATTTCTAAATTATTTTAATCAATTTTATATATTTTTCTCTCTCTTGTACATTTGCATCTGGAACCCTTTCATACTATCTATTCTTTTTCCGCCCTTCCACCTTTAATTGACCGATGAATACGCGTGTATCCGCGCGACCTTGACTCCGCGCAAAGTTACGGGCGATGGGGGAGTATTTCCCAAGTGCGTAAATTTTAGGAGCAAGGTTTAGAAGTTGTTGAGAGGAATTTTTTCTCATCTTGCCAAAAACCAAGGATTAGGAAGGAAAATATGGTACTTTGGAGATGCTCTATTGGTATCATTTAGCTAGTTGGGAAAGCGTAATAAATATGTTAATAGAGTATTGAGGTCTTATGTATTCCAAATTTGAGAGATTTGAATATATGCTTAGTAGGATCCTGGATTAAAAGGTACCATCTGGATGGCTCTGAACTTTGGAATGAGCCAGCAGTGGAGACGCCCAACTTTGTAGGTGGTAGCGCTGCTCTTAGCTCGGTTGTAAACCATTTATGTAATATCAAAGCTTGAATCTGTTTGCTATGACAGTCCAGCCCCTACGGTTGTACGACCTCCTAGGGCGCTCGTCAGTAGCGCGTCGTTTGTATGGTTGAACTCTTCTTCTTAATTACAATGATACGTAAATCTTTTGCGTATTCGAGAAAAAAAAGTATAAATACATGTTGTTGTAACATTTTCTATAGTTTCACTATTGGTGCCTCTCAATTCTTTAAGGGTATGATCTGGGCTGCTTCTGCAGCTAAACTAGGTCACATATGGAAAATTGGTAATGGTCATAAGGTTAAATTCTAGGAGGATAACTAGCTTGGTCCTTCCATCCTAGCCATTCAATATTAAGAGGTTTACATCCTGGTGAATGAGAAATCTGAGAGTTGTGTAATGGCACCAACCTCAAATGCACTTTTAGAAGATAGATGCTAGGCTTATGAATTTATGGTTAGAGCCTAGAGGTCGCCTAGTTAGCTTGAACTATATGTTTTCCTGAAGAGGAAGATGCCCTTATTTGGCAATTTAGTTCTAGCAGTTTGTATTATTCTCAATATCAGTATAGAATCATAAATTTAGGGGATGACTCCTATACACGTTCCTGCTCTTTGGAAAGAGAAAGTACCTCGTAGAGTCTATTTTTTTTTCCTGGGGTTATTCTCTGAAAATAATCTTTTAGCTAGAGATAATTTAAGTATAAGAAGAAAAGTAGAGGACGTGTCTTGTTTGTTTTGTTGTGAAAAGGAGCCGGTTCATCATTTGTTTTTCGATTGTGTTGTAGCTAGACACCTGTGGAACTTAACTCTGTTATTTTTTATAGAACCCGTGGAACTGAAGTAAAATGAAGTTCATACTAGTTTTTTCTGCTGCTGCCCTATGGAGCCTCTGGGAACTGAGAAATAGTTTATGCTTCCAGGAGGCTTCTTGGAAGGATATGAAATCCCTCTTGCTGAAGGTTGCTGCTATGATCCAAAGTTGGTCGATCCTATGTCCACCAAGCCATGTTGAGGAGTTCAACTCCAGGCTTTTGGATTTTACGAAGCTAGCAACGACCGATGAGAATCATGTGATGATATCCAAGAGCAAGTGTTGTACATGAATGCAATAAAACTGGAGGTCCAATACTTTACCGCATGAAGCCAAGGCTCTGCCGTCAGGAAGCTTTTTTTTTTTGGAAGGGACTTGACTCTCTGGCAAATGGCTTGATATAACTACGCTAGGTTTATCTTGTGAGATGGAAGTGTTTTTTGTTCTGGCTCCTTCATTGCTATTTCCAGTTTGCTTTAAACGGGACTGATGGATGTAACCCATCCGAATGCTATAATAACGTTCTGATCTTGATAGTGTAAGACAGGGGCTTGGCCCTATTAACTCTTAAAAAAAAGTTGACCATTTATTATGCTATTCATACACAGGTCTTGTATATACTAAACTTAAAACAAACGGGCATTCCCAAGATAGCAAGCCTTTCTCCCGTCATGGACGTGAAATGAAATGTTTGGAGCAAAGCGAAGCCGGGAACTCTGACGACACGACGCGGCCGCAGGCAACGAGTAGCCAAAGAATTGAGCACTAAAAGATACATCCACCACTCGACCAATCTGTTGTGGGAGCAGGTAAGCCTACTCATAATAGTTATAGTTTTGCTCCAATCAGGCATGCTGATGTCGCAGACGAAGTCGGCAAAGGAAAGGCTGGAGCCCGGAGCTGGTAGAGGCGTGACAGCGAAAGGCGTTGATGGGTAGGAGGGAATAGGGATATGGAGACAAGGGAGGATGGATGGAAGGATATTTCACTTGGTTGATGACTTGTGGAATGTGTGCAGCCATAGAATAGTTGCCGGACCATGCACGCTGAAAAGGTTGAAACGACTGAGCCTATGGATCTGCGTCGACCCGTTCGTTGGCTGAAAAAAGTATGCAAACAGGGCAAAGTCTGAAGGGAGAATCTGTAGATGGATTCGTGTTCACAGTGCGGATGATTGATGGGATAAAAGAAACAGAAAGTGTGAATTTTAGGTCCTATAACTTGACAACCCTCCGCCGAGGATAAATCAACTTCTGGAGTTGTCCTAATTCAATTATTTTTAAGTTTGACCAAATTTTATAGAAAAGGACACTAATATTTATATGACATAGAATAAGTATAGTTAGAACATGAAATATATTTTCATACTATACCTTTTGGGGCCTTAGATCGTAGTACTCTTTTATTTAAAATTAATCAAACTCAAAGCTTGACTAGATACCTAAATGCATAATAAACGGTACGTATCAGAAACATCAAAACGACCTATATAATTTAAGAAATTTTGGATGGAGTATCAACCTGGTAAAAAAGTGGACTGATCGATGGGGCAGAACAATAGATGTGATCATTCAAAGGTTGACGGGCATCCAGAAAGTCTCCCTGGGCTAGGGTACCTTTTGCTCAGTAAAGTTACAACAGCACATTAGAGGCCAATGGTAGGGCAGTTAAAGAAACTGTTCTCCAGAAAGAGAGAGAGATGTTCCTAACAGCCAAGATTATTAGCCTGTTCGCTTGCTCGTATCTGGCTTATCAGCCAACGAACAATATTTTTCTCTCACACCAAACCAGCCAGCAGTACTTTCAGCCATGGCTTATAAGTCAAATCAGGCCAAACGAACAGGGTATATATCCATGCCTTAGCCCTTAAGACGAGCATTTCAAAATGAATTAATTCGAAACCAAATCCAGTTACAATAAGAGTTGCTATGATTTTACAAAGATGACTTACTGGATTAGGCCACGTATTTGGACGATACAAGGTACTCATGAGAACTAATAAAAATGCCCTCATCCAGGCATGCAGGGCTTTTCCCCATTACTAAAAGAAACATTGAAATATTTCCAGATATGAACTGTCTGAAACCACTTCGCCTTCTAGCAACAAAACTGGTTTGATCGCAGTACATTATGAAAATCTTGTTCCTAAATTTCCCAATCTTGCCTAGACTTATAGTTTATAAATCTCCAGTTTAGCCACTTCTATCGGATCTTCCCATTTGTGCCAAAATCTAAACAAACAAAAAATCAAGTAAAGATTGACAATAAATCTAATGGTTGTATATAAATAATGGTAAAAACAACAATCATAGGTAGCCAACTGGAACTTGGACGGTGGAAATGACTTCACGGAGTTGAAGTGCACCGGCAGTCCTTAAACTTTCCATGTGGTTCATCTAGGCCCTAAACTTGCTAAGTGTGCCACTTGAGGTCCAGAGTTCCCTAATTAGCATAAAGTTGACTATGTGGTATGGCAACATGTAATGTGGCATGAAGGGACATGATCCTAAGCACTGGTGAGCAGCAGGTGGGAAGTGATTATGGAGTGTTTTGGTGGGGTTTGAATAGAGAGTAATGATGAGCGGGTTTTTTAGCTCCTAGCTAAATGGAGAAGTGATTCTCACAAAAAAAGCTGCTCCAAGGAGCGCTGCTAAACAGCCCCGGCACCAAGGAGCTTGTTAGGGTGATTTGGACCTCCAATGGCACACTCGACAAGTTGGGATCCACACGTGCATTTTTAGAGTTTATTATGGACCTAGATGGTACTGCATACAATTTTCAAGACCACCAATGTAACTAACTCAACTTCACATGTATGGTTAGGAACTTTCGACTTGAAAGAAATGTAGCAAGGTTCAAAAGCTACAAACTTGTGGCTTAAAAAAATGTAGGAATATTCAAAGTTAATCAAAATACAAACTACTGACATTCAGAAAAAAATCCTTTATTGAATGCAAACACACTTACTCCTATCATCAGACTACTGAACAAATATCCATATCCATACAAACTGACAAACATTTAAAGGAAATTGGACTGACATATCCATGTGAGGATTTGAACAAACTACTATAAAGAAAAATGCTTCAATGCATGGATTGATATGGCCTTCAGCTAAACAAGGTAGGTAACATCTCTAGTACAGGGAGAGTACCACTAAACCTATAAAAAAGGTGTACACAAAAATTGTATTATGTATAAGCATGGATGATAACAACCTTACTTGCTAATTTGAAATTAGCAACCAAAAGATTCCATGTAACCACACCGGTAACTTTGAGGTTGCTGGCTTGCTGCTGTTCAAGTTAGCATGCTAGGTAGCTCTTCTGTACAACTTTTTGTAGGTGTAGCATTACTAGTTCCAGAAATCACTAGAAGCATATTTCATCCTACTGTTTGATGTCTATTATTTCAGGAAATATCAAAATTCGAAACTTTTATGACCAAATGACAATACAAAACACAAAATAAAGTAAACATCAAGGATGGTACAAATGTGAAGTGAAATAGATATAATATATATGTGGGAGAGGAACCTTTGAGATGCTATGGCACTGCTAACTGCTTTTGTTTCTTGCATCCTTATGCTGGTAAGTACGATTCTAACATCAGTTGTGTTTTTGCATGTGGTGGTGACACGATATCAACAACGAGGTACGTGAACTTCCATGCCCGATCAGAATTATCTTTGAACATCTCTGAATACACTTTTCCAGCTCCATGTGGCCCACGGATGAGAAAGTTCACCTGAAAAAAATGCATGTGAGCAGCGTAAAAATAGCTATATGAACAATATGACTTAACATCAATGCAACCTTAGTGCCTCCTTTCCAATTTAGCAAAAACAATATCTACGAGCACAACAAAAAATGTAAACAGGATCTTCTCTGGTGTTGATACTGCTCTCAGGATTGATATTAGCATTGAAGGCAAATAATTCTCATCTTAGTACCTCCCCCTATGTTATGATTCACAATTAAGCTCTTCCCATGCTGCTTGCTGTTGTTTAAGGAGAATAATTGGCTCATTGCTGTATGCTGCTAAGGGACTAATGAACTCTCAGAGAGCAGTTTCCCAACAATGTTGCAGAAGAGAGAGCATAACTGTAACAGGTAAAGTTGCCACTTTCTTATTGACTAGGCTACAGTAGACCTGAGGTTTAGGGTTTAGGTGCAAGAAAACAGAAGAGACAAGAATGTGTTCTACCTCCACATGTTCAACACCATCCTCATCTGTCCAAATCTTATTTGGAATTCTTTGCCGAGCTGCACGATTTCTAGTTTCCTGGCCATATCCAGTAATAGGGTGGCCAATCCTTGACGTGACCTGACAAAATATATAAAACTAGTAAGAGAGGGAAAGTACAACTATCTACAGGAAAATAACATGATCAACGAAAACCTGGCTATCACTCTGAATTCTTGCTAGAGCTTTCCCAAATATCTTGTACCTGTTGGGTGGTTATACAATGCACAAGCGTTAGCTAATCTTCCTTCAGCTTCAAAAATATATATTTATTTATAAAACAGGCAAATGGCAATCAATATGCCAGACAAAAGCACCAAACACCAAATTATTATGTTGAGTTTCAACTTTAGCCTACCCCCAACTTACTTAGTAAAGGGCTTTGTTGTTGTTGTTCAGCTTTAACATAATGCAATGCATAGTACTTTCGGTAGTGAATCAACATTCTTACAGGTTATAGGATAAAAATGCAGTATGCACCAGAATAGGGCTAGTGACAACGGAACAAAAACAGAAAGATCTATGGTATTTGGTTTCATCTTCATTTTTCAATATAGTAAAAGTTTGTTCATATCAGGTAGCACACCAACCTATAAGTGTGACACAAAGTTGCAGATAATAAAGCTTCCTATTCCTATACTGCACAAAATGCCACTCTATGAACCAAGGAAATGAAAAGCATAGACACATGTGCCTTAGACAATGATGCATCCAGATTAAGAAGATGTATATATAAACTGGTAAAAAGGGCAAAAAGAAGTTCCATATTACACATCATATTGACTGTTAATTTGTACAGTGCACATAAAGATGGGATTAGTGTTACGATCTGAAGAATGACCACTACGGATTTTTTTTTTCTCGAATACACAGGAGATGTGTATCATATCATTAAAGAACCACCGCGAAATTCTGACAAGGAAATTTTGTAGAACTTAAAAGAATATGGTAATAATTACTATTTATTAACACATTTGTAATATCAAAATACAATTAGTCATAGTTGTATCACTTATCATTCTGCAAAGTTCAAACAGAAGCCAAATAACAAATGCAAGGGACTTACTCTTTTGGCTCAAATATAAGCTCTTTGAACACAGCATATCCAGCCACCCCTGCAATTCCGAGTCCAGCAAGTATTACAAGACTATAAGAGGCACCTTCAGTAAATGTCACTGGCTTCTCAGGTATATTGTAGGTAATATCATCAAAGGGATGTTCTGTGGTTGACAAGTCTTTCCCTTCCTGCGAACAAAGAGGACAGTTCCTTACAAGTAACAAAAAAAACCATAAAAATGTGCAACAGCATTATAGCTATACGACGTATTCTGCTTACAATATAATTAACAAACATTTGTTTGACTAATGAAACCAGTAATATCAGTTAGCTACGGTATACAAGTTCTATCAAGAACTAAATGACTAAAAGACCCCAAAAATCTGACTGTTGGTGTCTTAGGTGATTAAAACTGTCAAGCAGTATAACAATAAACAAAACTCGAAGTCTTCTCCAGCAGAATGCTGTGAATGGAAAACTGGAACACAGTAAACACACGCTGAAACTTTGAGTCTTTTCCATCAGAGCGCTTTCTCACATATGACAGAGATGCCTTGCAGAAAATAGCACTGTAACTGCAACACTACAAGTACTGCTGGCTTTGGCTAAATGATTGGCATAATTGGCTCATATCATATGGGACCACTGAGATTATGGATCCATAAGACAAAAATCTTTGAAGCAGACCATCACAAAACAGTGTCTAGCAACTACCTCTACATCTTTTTTTGCGAAAGCAACTACCTCTACATCTGTAGTAATGTAACTGGTGAAACATAAACTTTTCAACATATGCAGGATCACAAATTTGGAATAGCTCTTAATAATCATTTTTTATGAAATTTTGGTTGTCCAAAACCACATTACAGGGGCTAATGCATATAAATAAGCCAATATATGTGGTCAAGCTGTTGCCATTCAAGGTTTTAGGCATAGTAATCCAATGTAGAAAGCACAACAACAACAACATAGCCTTTCAGTCCCAAGCAAGTTGGGGTAGGCTAGAGTTGAAACCCACCAAGAGCCCCAAGTCACGGTTCAGACACTTCAATAGCTGCTTTCCAAGTACTCATATTCAAACATAGATCTCTAGGTATATCCCAAGCTTTCAAATCTCTTTTTATTGCCTCCCCCAATGTCAATTTCGGTCTTCCTCTACCTCTCCTCATATTATTAGCTTGGCTTAGGACTCCACAATGCATTGGCGCCTCTGGAGGTCTCCTTTGGACATGGCCAAACCACCTCAACCGATGTTGGACAAGCTTTTCTTCAATTGGTGCTACCTCTAGGCGATCACATATATCATCGTTCCGAACTCGGTCCATTCTTGTGTGACCGCAAATCCATCGCAACATACGTATTTCTGCAACACTCAGTTGTTGAACATGTCGAATCTTTGTAGGCCAACATTCTGCTCCATACAACATAGCTGGTTTAATCGTCGTTCTATAAAACTTGCCTTTTAGCTTTTGTGGTACCCTCTTGTCACAGAGAATGCCAGAAGCTTGTCACCACTTGATCCACCCTGCTTTGATTCTATGGCTAATGTCCGTATCAATATCTCCATCCCTCTGTAGCATTGATCCCAGATAACGAAAGGTATCCTTCTTAGGCACTACTTGACCTTCCAAACTCACATCTCCCTCCTGTACAACTCCGCCAAAGTCGCATCTCATGTATTCGGTTTTAGTTCTGCTCAATCTAAAACATTTAGACTCAAGGGTCTGCCGCCATAACTCTAGTTTCCTATTTACTCCCGCCTGGCTTTCGTCCACTAACACTACATCATCAGCGAACAACATACACCAAGGGATATCCCCTTGTATGTTCCTGGTAACCTCACGTTCGAGCTAATTTATGTATAATCCACAGGTGTTCAGTAATTCAGATGATGCATGATCACAAGTACATGTGGGATTGGATTTGGGAAATCCAAAGTCCAATTTAACCCTGCCTGCTTTGGATGTAGATGAACATGATTTGTTTGGACTTGGACATCCAACACCATGTGATAAAATAAAGCACAATATCCATTGGGTTGCAACACGAAAATTCCAATGTCCATTGGACCTAGCTGGACTTGGTTTTACAGTGGTGGTAACCCTCTCTTCAAATGCTACGTGGGGAGAGAATCGAGAAAGGAAGGGTGGATGAGAGGGGCGGACTAGACTTCTCATCCGAACCATCAAGTGACCTCCATAGACCACTGACATCAGAGATGAGACAAGAGAATGGTCACTTCAGTACTTCACTTGTCTCTACGACCACGGCATGGCCTGGCATGGCGTTCCATTGAATAGGTCACTGGAGTGGAATGGGTGACATGCCAAGCTCAAAGCAAGGGCATATGCAGGGTGACGGTGATGCTGTAGTGATTGGCCTTGAGGTAGAGCACAAAGGCAGTAACGTAGCAGACTGCAATAAGCAGTAGCTTAGACGGCATAGGCATTGGTCACGTAGAGGTTAATGCAGACACCAACAGCTCTGGGCCAGGACCATGCTGTGAATCTCAAGATGGCCATGGCTTGGAGTTCTGCAGTGAGGATCATGTGGAGTGTCTGATGCCTGATGAAAGGAGGCTAACATTGGTGTTACACGGTGAGTAGTTTTGTGGAGAGCTCTGGCTGGAGATCTGACATGACAGATGAGATGAGAGAGTCAGCTTGGCTTGGTTTTCAAGTTGCCTGTGATGGGGAAGGGGAAGAGGAAGACGCCTTGCTGTGATGGTTGTATCATGATGGATGGATTCTAACTTGAGGTGCTTGGATTGGATTAGATTAGACTCTAAGCACTTTGAGATATGTTTGGACTGGATGGTGGACTTTCTGTAGTAGGATTCTAATTGGATTCCTTTGTTAGGATTTGGATTTTGGTCCAATCCCACCTATAGTCAACAAGGCAACACAATAACTAAAAGCTTATATATTGCATTACAACCACCATAGCAGCATATCACAAGATGGATAATATTAATTCAAATTTATGCAGCAAAGGATCAGAGGCAAGTAGGAACATACTCCATCCGTCCCAAAATAAATCAACTTCTAGAGTTGTACTAAGTCAAACTATTTAAGTTTGACTAACTTTATAGAAAACAATAACAACATTTATGACGCCAAATAAGTACACTATGAAAATATATTTCATTGTGTATCTAATAATACTAATTTTGCATCATAAATATTGGTGTTCTTTTCTATGAATTCAGTCAATCTTAAGAAAGTTCGACTTAGGAGTTAGGACAATTCTAGATGTTGATCCATTTTGGGACGGAGAGAGTATATAAACGCATTACATTGAACAATTTAAATCAGCAAGCAGAACTGAAATACAAACCTGTTTTGCCTTCTGGTCTGAAGCTTGTGTAGAGTAAGATGCACATGGCCTTACGGAACAAGGAAATACTTTGCGGCACTCATAACGAGTAGTCAAAGGACCTGAAGTGTTTGACCTAGTCACGTACCACCTTGAATTTTTCAAAGACGAAGCTGGATGTTTTCCCAAAGAAAACTATGTCAGCATTAACAAATCCTAACGTGGAAAAAGTAGTGCGGAAGAATATCGGTCCAGATCGAGCAAAAATGCACACAAAAGTTGGATAGTTTTCGAGTGCTTGGAAATCAATGAAATTATGATGAGACTAGATAGCTGAGAAACCATTCTTTGTAATCATAGCCATGCATACTCATAACATGGAACACAAGTAGAACAACCTTAAAGACAGATTGGAATCAATTTTATGAATTGAAAAAACTGAGCAGTTTGCATCGACTGGATCATAATGAGGAGGGTTACACACAGAATTATCATAATCATGTATCAAATTATCACTAATTCACTACTGAAAGGTTTTATCAACACCTTTTGACTCTCCAGTTCTGAATAATTCAACCTAGAGTTTTGTTTTACCTTTGGCAAGTTCATTCAAATGCATCCAATGTATGCAAAGTATCACATCCAGTCATAATAGATGCAGTGTTGCAATGGCAGTACATTATCATGGAAGGTTTACTAAATCAGTATGGCAGTATAGAAGGGCTCTTTGAAGTATCTGTTGCGGTAAGATTGAGAAATAGAGCATGAATATTATGACAACAGGTACAGATTTGCCAGCTTTATTCTGATTATACAGGCTAAAAGATTCTAAGTTGACCTAGGAGCTCATATGGAAGCCACCGAACACTTTACTCTGATTTGCAATGTCAACATATACTTAAAGCAGCTAAACTAAAAACTAGATAAGCATACATAATGTTTAAATTGTTATGCAGTATCCATCCAGCACTGCAAAACAAGACTAGTTTCACCAATGCAACAATAACAGGAATAATAACAAAACAAAATATTTAATAGCAGCAACTTGGCCAATCAAACACAGAGCTTTAATTCAGAGGTGGGAGTTGACCTTCAGCCTTAGCAACATCCTGTAGTTAAAGAGACAAGGAAGCGTTAAGGAAAAACAGACTTCCAAGTATATATTTCCAAATAAGAAGAAAATGCTATAAGGAAATTACAATGTGAAGAACTTCCGAAAGCCCAAAAAGATCTATGCAATCAGAGATCAGAAACACGATTGCATTGTGTTTCATACAGATAGAGCACCAGCACATGCATTGCTTATGACATGACTAGCAGAATAGGCTGGCATTACAGAATAATAGAAGTTCAATAATCCCTAGCACTAGTAACTAGTAAGCACCACCCTGCACAACAAATGTTGCTTCAGTGGAAACACAGAGCACCAGTTCGGTCCCTTCAGGAACCTAACCTGACACCATATCACAACCACAGGCAGCAACGCCGGAAGAGGCAACGCAGAGATCGGCACGGGCATTCTGTCGAACACCCTGAGGGGAGGTTTAGAGGGGTTTAGGGTTCTCCTCCATCGCTGCTGCTGGATTACCTTGGAGACAGCGGTGCCGGCGCAGGGAGCCTGCGGCGCGTGGCGAGCGGAGGCCTCCACTGCGGTGGCGAGGCGGCGGTGCAGGAGCAGCCTCGTGACCCGGGAGGCCATGGGGGCGTGACTCGTATACTTGGGGGAGGGGTTGAGGAAGCGGAGAGGAGAAAGAGAACGGTTCGGATGGCTTCTCGGCTTTATTCTGATGCTCCGCGGCGACGGGGCGGGTTGGAGTATTTGCTTTTTGCGCCTCCAAAACTCGTCTCGGTACAACACATAATTACGAGACGACTTGAGAGGCTACAATAAATTGTCTTATAAGTTATCTCGTAAATTGACCTACTATACTTGATTGTTAAAGACAAAGCAAGTAGTGCTCCTATCCCACTGAAACAATAACCAAGACAGGGCCTGAAATCAATGGAAAGTATATCTTGAAAAGTCTAGGTGAATGACATAAGCAAGTACTTCACCTCAATCCAGCAAGATCAATTCTTTTCTTCGCGGTTTGATAGCTAGGAAAGCATAAGATAAGTGAGAGATTATTTTCTTTCCTTCCTTAATTTGTGAATATAATAATAGAATATTTGTGAGTTGCATGACAACAACCACTTGTACGATAGTGTGTAAGTTGTCTCGTGGTCCTAGAGTTTAGCTCATGAGATGGTTGTTTCGCGAAAAAACGACCTCTTTCTCTCCCCTATCTCTTTCCTCCACATCAGAAAAAAAAAATCATACGTGGTACTACATGAGGAGTATGAGACCGCTGGCGTGTAGCAATGTACTTGCCCTTAGGGGGTGTTTGGTCCAGAGGCTAAGGTTTAGTCTCGTGTCACATCGGACGTTTGGATGTTAATTAGGAGAACTAAATATGAGCTAATTATAAAACTAATTGCACGGATCTTTCATCGTATATCCAAAATAAAAACACACGCGCGATCGTTGTTACTGAAAGGATTTCGATTCGCAGCCACTAGCTGGGAGTATCCACGGATTTTTGGCTATTGATGATGAGCCCTAAAAAGAATAAGGAGGGAGTAGTAGATTATATGTGTGTTTTAATAATTAGTTAGTTCATGATAAGGGTCGGTGATTCTCATTTTGGATGAATTTATAGAAAAATGTTGAACTGGGCACTGGTTCTCAAATTACGTTATAAGAGGATATATGGTTGGGGGAGACGGTCTCTAAAATTATAACAACCGCTATGCAATTCTTTTTATAGCCGATTTAATGTTTAAATTAAGTTTTGAGTTAGACACATTTATTTTTATTTAAATTTAATATAATAGGTAGTTTGATTCTCTTGGTCATAAGGTATGAAATCAGATATTTATTTCTTTATTTAAAAAATAGGCGCTTTGCTATTAAAAAATTGAATGTGATTTTTGTAATATTCTACTTGTAGCCAATCCTCACTATTACTTGAGTGTTAATAAAGCGTGGACAATCAGTACATATAAACGCATGGTTCAAGTTTTGATAGGGAATTAAAACGACCAAGTTCTGACCACGGTAAATTTTTTTAATGCCTCAGATACTTCAAGTATAAGTTGTAGTATCTGAACTTACGGACAAATTCACACCACAAGCGACACTCAAGCACGCACACATGTTGAACACAAGCTAAGCCTACTACTTCTATACCTAAAGACACACATGTGGTTGAGAGGTGCTCGAATATCATCAGACTCCAAGTGTGTGCGACCTGCGTCAAGCAGGACTCAAACCCAGACCGTGGGGCTCCAGTGAGCAACTCCCACCACTGAGCCATCGGCTCATTCACCTAACTCTTTATTCTACTGCATCTAGCCTATGAGGAATAGTTTAGATTTTATGTACCTTATGTTGGTAATTAGATTTAGATTTGAGGGATATTTTAAGTTATTTTTTACAATAGTAAATATCAGAATTTATATATTTTATATCATCTTTCACGAACTAAAAATATGGGTAATTTTAAAAGCCAACACAATGATTGGTTTGTATTATCTTTAACAATCGTGTGATTTAGATGCAAATTTAGGGATTATTTAAAAAAATTACAGGTGTGTATTTTTATGCAAGTTGAGAGGTTAATTTATGCATTTTTTTGTACCGTGAATGTGAATATTTTGTAGAAAAAAAATAAATTAATGGCTATTTTGATTATGATAATTAGACGTCTGGTAAAAATGTTCACATTCGCCATTAGGAAATTAAATAGAATTTTTAGGATTTATTCTTTTCCTAAGACGTCTCACGAGAATTAATATAAAGCCTCTGTTTAAAGCCTTAAAATATATAGGTGGTATATAGGGCCATTTTGGATTAGCGTATGAATATTAGCCCCATATATATTTGGATCCTAGACTAAAATGTGCATAAATGTCTAGCAATGAACTATTGGTCTTTGTTAGCTAGTTGTTGGCTAATGAACTACTCTCCGCTTCAAATTATAAGCCAGTTGTTGGCTAATGAACTACTCTGTTTCAAAATTATAAGTCGTTTTGGCTTTGACTTTTACTATACATTCAGATACATGCTAATATGCTATATTTAGATACATGACAAAAATATGCGTATGTAGAAAAGGCAAAACGACTTATGATTTAAAATAAAACGACTTGAAAGGATGGAATATATCTAAAGACTTAGCCTTAAATATGAGTGCTTGAAAAATATTTATTCATGTGCCTGAACCTTGATTGTTTCTGCTGGGTTTCAACTCTAGCCTACCTTAACTTGTCTGGGACTTAAAGGCTTTGCTGTTGTTGTTGCTGATTAACAAGTAGCCAATAGGTTAACTGAAAATTAGTTCATGCATTAGCCCTTGTTCTATTTGGGTAGACTAAAGCTAATCTTTGGCTAGTACTAGTACTTGTTAGCCTATTAGATCAAAAGAGTCCCATCTCCACTTAGACCATGTTTAGATTGTAAAAAATTTCAAACCGATAAATAGTAGCACTTTCATCTTATTTGGTAAATATTGTCCAATCATGGACCAACTAAGCTCAAAAGATTCATCTCGTGATTTCTAATTAAACTGTGCAATTAGTTATTTTTTTTACCTACATTTAATGCTCCATGCAAACGGCTAAAAATTGATGTGATGGAGAGAAAGTGAAAAAACTTGAAATTTGGAGGTGATCTAAACAAGGCCTTAGTTATTAAACTAAAACCAAGTCACCATCTCACAACATAGCGGGAATTAAGCCAAAGTCCGGATTGTTCTTAGAAGAAATCCAAAAATAAACCGTCTTATTGCTGTTCGAGAGATACGCCGATTTCATCGCTCATCTTGCCTTGAACCTTGTGCAACCCAGTGGTCGTCAAACATATCAACTGGCGCCAAAATTGCAGCTACGTCCGCCTACTACAAGTAAAGTGACTCAGACCACGGGGACGAAGCAGGCCTTGGCGTCCTCGCCCGCCCACTGTAGCGCGTTCCACCAGTGCTTGTCGCACTCGATCCGCACGGTACCCTGCTGCCCGCGCGCCGGGCGCATCGGAATCCTCTTCAGCCGTGGGCACCCCCTCGTCTGTAGGCGCCGCAGCTCCGGGAACGCGCACTCCCCCTCGGCTCGGATGGCCTCCAGCTTCGGCAGCCCCAGTAGGGCCAGCACCCTCAGCCGCGGGAACACGACCACCTCCTCCGTGGCACTGCCGCCGTCCTCCGCGCCACCCAGCAGCCTCGTCAGCCCGTTGCACCCGCTGAGGTTCAGCGACTCTAGGCAGGGGAGGTGCTGCACCCACGTCGCGTGCGTTAGGCTGTGGCACGCGCCCATGCCGACATCGCGGAGGTTGGACCCGGCGGCATGGGACCACGCCATGACGCTCAGCTTCGTGAGGAACCCAAACTTGATGATCTCCAACCTGGGCATGTGCGCGTCGGCTGTGATCTCCTCGACGTCGGACGAGTAGACCGCCAGCTCCCGCAGGCTCTCCTGCATGCCGCCAAGCTCCGGCGCGTGCTCCGCGGACAGCAGCGGAATGGCGTGCTCACCTTCTAGCTTGCGCAGCTGGAGCGACCGGGCGCGCACGCCCGGCGCTAGCCGCGCGAGGCGCTCCACGTCGCGGGTGGTGTCGAGCCAGATGCTGAGCGACGCCATGCGCGCGCCGCTGCTCTCGAGGTCGTCAATGACTGGCGCGACGTAGTTGTCCGCAACGGAGACGATGCTCGCGGTGAACAGCTCCAGCACCTGCAGCTTCCCAAGCCGCGAGATCAGCCCCGTTGGTATCGTGATCTGGATGTAGTAGTTGTCGCGCAGGTAGAAGTACTCGAGCTGGCCCAGGTTGCCCAGCTCCATCGGCAGCGACAGGATCTTGTTCTTGGATAGGTTGAGGTACTTCAGGTTGACCAAGCAGCAGATCTCCATGGGGAAGGCGTCCTCAATGCCGGTGTCCTCGAGGTCCAGGTACGTAAGCTTGGTGAAATGCTGGATCGCCTGGAGCATCCTCTTCGGCAGGGCCTTGTTGAACTGGAGCATCAGCGACGACGGCTGCGTGTCCGCGAGGGCACTGGCCACCTTCGCCAGGGCGTCCTCGATGGTGTTGTGCATCAGGGACACGCGCTGCGCGCCGCGCCACAGCTCCTCGCGCGGGGGCTCCCTGAGCCCGGCGCCTGCGCGGACAAGCCACTTGCCGGGAGCGAACCGGAGCGCCGCGTCGCGCACAACGTCGTGCAGCCTGACGTGAGTGTCTGACGGGAACATGTTGTAGCGGTGGTTGTGCCCTGGCTCCAGCAGGCGCGCGTCCTTCAGGATCGCAATCACGGAGAGCCCGAACCTGTGGGCCTCTTCGATGTCGCCGAGATCGGGGAGCAGGCCGAGTCCGATCCAGCTCTGCACGAGCTCCTCCTTGAAGATGCTGTGGTCCTCCGGCCATAGCGCGCAGGTCAGGAAGCATTCCCTCACCATGTCGCTCTCCAGATTGTCGTAGCAGAACTTCACTAGCGCGTGCGTGCTCTTGTCCAAGCCGGGCGTGCCGGAGGGCAGCGACGCCTTGAGGGTGTCGAGTGCGTTGGACCACTCCTCGGGTGTGCGCTTATTTGACATGGCGCGGCCGACGGTGACGAGGGCCAAAGGCAAGCACTTGCATTCGGCGGCGACCTGTTTGATGGCAAAACAAGTTAGCCT